CTCATTCTCTGCAGTAATTTTCATGTCCTCTCTCTTCCATTCTTCTACATGTGATCTTGCTTATTGACACTTGGAATCAGCTATTTCCAATAGGTGATTATGTATAACTAATAGAAAATACAATCTCGTACACAGAAACTTAATGTCACTCCACACTTCTGTTTTTTTCTCTATTTACTTACACAGGTTGAGGATCCCCAATCTGAAAATATGAAATCCAAAATGCTCCACAGTTCAAATTTCTGGAGCTCTAATGTGATGCCACTAGTGTACTGCTGCTGTCTGATGATTCAATGTACACAAACTTTGTCTTACTCATAAAATTATTTAAAGTATCATATGAAATTACTTCCAACCTATGTGTATAAAGCATATGTGAAACATAAATGAATTTCATAGACTTGAGTCCCATTCCCAAGGTATCTCCTTATGTACATGTAAAGGTTCCAAAATCTGAAAAAATGTGAAATCCCAAAGACTTCTGGTCCCAAGCATTTCATATAAAGGATATTAAACCTGTATTACCAAACTCCTATTAATGAAACCACCTTAAAAATACACCACCCCTAGCTCGGCGCCTGTGCCTCAAGTGGCTGGGGCGCTGGCCACACACACCCAGGGTGGCAGGTTCGTATCCAGCCCAGGCCTGCCAAACAACGACAGCTGTAACCAAAAAGTGGCTGGGCGTTGTGGCGGGTGCCTGTGGTCCCAGCTGCTTGGGAGGCTGAGGCAGGAGACTCACTTGAGCCCAGGAGTTGGAGGTTGCTGTGAGCTGAGATGTCACAGCACTCTACCCAGGGGGACAGCTTGAGGCTCCTATCTCAAAAAAAAAAAAAAAAAAAAAAAAAAAAATACACCACCCCTAAGTAGAAATTCAAGAATTATTCAATTGCTCCTGAGGGCTCCGTGATAAATTTCACTTTAATTTGGAATAAAGTTTAAGCCTTATTATTAACCCTGAACAAATGACACTATCATATACCAAGTGTATGTGAAAAATTAAAGTATCTTGTTTTTGCCTGTTGATTACCACCAACAGAAATCAATTAAGAAAATGAATTACCACCTTACAATTTATTTTACAAGCTACTGAGAAGGATTAACATAATTTTATCCAATCAATCATTAGGACATACACAAAAATACCATTTTAATATAATTATGTTAGACAATCTACATTATATAGAAATACTTACTGAAAAATTTTAACTTAGGCTCAGCGCTTGTAGCTCAGCAACAAGGGCACTAGCCACATACACTGGAGCTGGCAGGTTTGAATCCAGCCCAGGCCTGCCAAACAAAAGTGACAACTACAACCAAGAAATTGTGGTGGGTGCCTGTCGTCCCAGCCACTTGGAAGGCTGAGGCAAAAGAATCGCTTAAGCCCAAGAGTTTGAGGTTGCCGTGAACTGTGATGCTACAGCATTCTACCCAGGACAACATCTTGAGACTATCAAAAAAAAAAAAAGAAAAGAAAAGAAAAGAAAAATTTTAACTTAACAGAAAATGAGATTTGCCTGATAGAGCACATAAGCCTTCAACAGTAGCCCTTGGAAGTCTTTTGCTTACCCTTATCCCTCCAAGATTAAATAAATTTTTTTTTTTTTTTTTTTTGCAGTTTTTGGCCAGGGCTTGGTTTGAGCCCACCACCTCCAGCATATGGGCCTGGCGCCCTACTCTTTTGAGCCACAGGCACCGCCCTTAAATAAGAATTTTCAGGGCCAGACACACAAGCTCACACCTGTAATCCCAGCACTCTTGGAGGCCAAGGAAGGAGGATCCCTTGAGCTCAGGAGATCAGCCTGAGCAAGGGCAAGACCCCTGCCTCTACCAAAAATAGAAAAATTATTAGAGCTTTGTGGCGAACACCTGTAGTCTCAGCTACTTTGGAGGCCCAGGCAGGAGGATTGCCCAAGGCTAGGAACTGAAGGTTACAAGTGAGGTATGGTAACCCCACTGCACTCTACCCAGAACTACAGAGCAAGATACTATCTCAAAAAAAGAATTTTCAGGGCCAAGTAATTCCCAATTTCTAACTAATCATTTTTAGTGAAACCTTAATCTCATTAGTAAATATTAAATGCTAAATTTTAATTTGTAGCAAATAGTTTAAAATCTATCAAACCCTTTAAAAAAGTTTAAATTTACAAAATGGCACATCTTTTCTCAGGCTTCAAGTAGAATTTTACAAATAGATCATTTTCTTATTCTTACACATTTTCTGGTATCTGGTTCCCTTAATAAAGCCCAACTTGTTTTCAGGTTCTTGGTGCAGTGGTAAGCATCAATTTTATCACTATTTCTGCTTCAACAGAAAGCAATAATCAAAAATTTAATGATTAACTGCCAGTAGAAAAAGTTACTTGAGAAAGGCTTTAATTTTATCTATTAAAAATTCACTTTGGTTACCTCCAGTTAAAATAAAAACTTTCTCAGAATTTAGAATTGTTTTTCCTCCTTCTAGCTCTTTTTTATTTCAGATTAACATAAAGGTACATCCAATTAGGTTACACTGTTTGGTATGTTAGGTAAAGCACGAGTTGTATTTGAGTCTTTCACCTGGGCAGTGTGCCATATTCCCCTACATTGTACCCATCACATGACAGCTTACAGAACCCTCTCTCTTTCTTCTCCCCCTCCTGCAATTTAGACTTTTTTTTTTTTGAGACAGAGCCTCCGGCTGTCACCCTGGATAGACTGCCATAGCATCACAGCTCACAGCAACCTCCAACTTCTGGGTTTAAGTGATTCTCTTGCCTCAACCTCCCAAGTACCTGGGACTACAGGAGCCCGCCACAACGCCCGGCTATTTTTTGGTTGTAGTTGTCATTGTTGTTTGGTAGGCCTGGGCTGGATTCACATCCACCAGCTCTGGTGTATGTGGCTGGTGCCTTAGCCACTTGAACTACACATGCCAAGCTGCACAATTTAGAATTTTAATTTCACCATCACAAAAAACAAAACAACATCCTCACAGATATAACTGAACTAAATGAGTTTTTCTATTTCTAAGATATTGACTCTAGTTTTTTGCAGTAATATGCTTAAAGCAGCCAAGATGATGGAGTTCTGAACTAAGAATCCTAGAAATAGAAAGCCTAAGACTTCAAAACTTAATACGGCTCCACACCACTAAACTAGCTAAAATTTTAAAAGATTGACAATATCAAATGTTAGAAAGGATATGGATCAACAGAACTCCTATACATGGTTGGTAAGACTGTAAAATGACAAACATTCACAACAGTGATTAGATAAATTATGGCATATTCATACAGTGGGAAAACACACCAATAAAAGAAACTACTGACAAACATAATAATAAGGATGAATCTCAAAGACATGCTGAGTGATAAAAAGCCTCATCCAGAAGAGAACATTCAGTACTATAGGATCCCATTTACATGAAGTTCAACAGGCAAATCTAATCTACAGTGGAAGAAAGTCAAAATTGTGGTTGATCGAAAGAGAAAGTGAGTGGACTGGGAAAAGGCAAGTAACTTTCCTGTCACTTGAAATGTCCTAGGTCTTGATAAAGGCTTGGGTTACCAGATGTACCATTTGTGAATGCTGCACATAGCATGGCAACCATGTGCATTTTCACTGCATGCCAAATTCGCCTCAGAAACTATTAAAATAAAAAAACTAGACTCAATAGCATGCACATTGTGGAAGCGACGTATTGGTGTCATTTATTGTTATTTGCCATTTATTTTGCAATGGATCCAAAAAATAAGATGGGCTTAAATCATGTAATAAATAGAAGAAAATATTAATTGTGGTGGTATTCTTTCAACTTTTCAGTATGTTGTAAAACATAAAAATGTTGATATTTTTACAAGAAAACTGGGGAGCCCCCTCCCAAAAAGTGATAATTCATTTGGTTGTAAAAGTTGCATTTGATGCTATACACCCTACCTCTTCACAAAACACACTGCCTTTGTAACTAGATAAACCTATAAAACCTATACCCAAATCATTTACTGCCCCAGGGGAAACTCAAATTTCAAGAATTGTTTATTGCTTCCCTTCATAAACAGTTTACATTTCTTGAGATCGTCAGAGATCAATTCAACAATTATGGAAAATAGGACGTATTCAACAATAAACTAAAACAACTTGAATTCCACCAAGATTCTTAATTAATTGAAAATTTTTGTATTCTTGAACAAACTTCAGTTGGCAAATTATTTGGCACTATTCCCTATTAGCTCCAATTTTGCTTTCTTGTATTCGGTCGCAAACGCTAATTAGTATCTTAGTATCGTCGCTATCGTCCCTCTAAAATCAAACAAAAACCTACCCAGTGACTGATATCTAACAGATAAATACACTAAAAAAGAAATAACAAGTTATCAATGAATTAAAGTCATTCACTTTTCTCCTTAAAAGTAGTACTATTACTTAAAACATGACTGAAAGCAATTTCTACGTCATACTTATTTTAATAAAGGTTGGAAGGTGGGAAAGATTTCAGCAGTCAAAAGGTAGAACTAAATGTACACGCGCTCCTCACCCAAAAAGCTATCTTAACCCGCAGACAAGTAAAACAATGAGAACCCCTCCCTCCCCCCTTTAAATTCATGAAATAAAATTGCAGCCTTGGCTAAAGCCAACCTTCGACCCCGCCCAGCCTCCACCTCGCACAGAGCCAGGCCGTGGGTCCCTTCCTTTGTGAGGAGCTGGAGGGAGGGGACTGAGGGCGGGGAGCTTAGGGAGGAGGCTGGGGGTCGGTGGATGCCAGGGAAGGCAGGCTGGGAGGGAAGCGGCGTCGGATCGTCCTACAAACAGGCCACGCGGCCACGCCACAAACCTCTGCGGTGTCCCAAGGAGCAAACCCACAAAGTTGGGTGTGAGCTAATTGGGGCGGAAAGCCGGAGAATGGCCATGAGCACCTCCGAGGGCAAGCCTCTCCCAGGACCTTGCGAAACGTCTCCTCAGGCCGCGGGCGGAGGTCTTGCCGCCACCCCCACCCCGGCCTGAACCCCAGGCGGCCTCACCTGCTGCACGGAGCTATTCTCAGGCACAGCGAATTCTTCCTTCTCCTTCGGGGTCTTCACGGTGACTTTCATGATCTTAGGCTCCGCAGAGTTAGCGGCCGCGGGGGTGCCAGCACCTTCGGCCGCGGCGGCGCTGTCCTGGGGGCCTGGAGGGCCGCCGCTTTCACCACTCTCGGCCATGGCGGCAGCGGCGGTGACTCAGGCGAGCAAGAGGGAGCAAGCGAGCGAGGAGAAGCCAGCAGACGCCAAAGCCGGCAGGCCCAGGCCGCGGGAAATGCAGGGCGCGCCGCCTCAGGAGCAATGGGAGCGGGACAGCCCTAGCCGACGAGGGGCCGCGGAGCTCGGCGTGGGCTCCGGCGCAGGCCCAAGTTGGGCACTGGGCAGCTGCCGTGGGTTCAGGAGCCGCTGGTTCGCAGCGACATCCGCAGCCGCCGTCGCTTCCTCCTCCCTGCCCCTCCCCCCACGTCCCTCCGCCGGCGCCGCGCGGAGCACGCCGGGTAACGTGGCCAGCCGCGTCGCCGAGTCATCCCTGGCCGGCGCCTCTTTGCTCTGCGGTGCGTTTCTTTTCCTCTCACGCTTCCTTATCCACAGTGTAGGTGCGTCCAGCATGAAGGACTAAAAGCAATGTGAGGTGGGATAGGTCAGTTCATTTATATCTATTTTCTTCAAAGAAAAAACATCGTTTCTAGGAAACACTCACGGCGCGCAACGATGACGTCACGGTCAGCGAAACTACTAGAAGGGACTCGCCCACCGGGCACTGTGGCTGCGCATGCGCGTCCGCCGTCCAGGTAGTCTTTCCCCACCCCCTTCCCTCAGCTACAGATGAGCATCGCTCACCCTTCTGTGTCGCTGTGGTCGCCTGTTCTGGCCTCTCTGCCTACCCCACTGAGAGGAGGGTCTGGTGACAAAATAGCGAGGTAGTTTGTTATTTTAATATGCTTACTGCTTGGCTGTTTGGAGGACCAGAAGCTTGCTCTTAACTGCTCTGTCGCAGGAGTTAGAAGACAAGTTAATGGAGAAAAGGACCTCTTGATAACGAAAGGAAAATGGAATAAACGCCTGTGTGACTACCCTGCGCAATTCCACGGAGTCATTGCCCTATGGCCGGAGCTTACTGCCCTCGGGTCAGCCCGGTTTGGTCCGAAGCTCAGGCAGACTGTGTTGACAGGTGGCCTCGGCTGCTGCGCTGACAATCCTGCGCGCGCCCCGGAATTCTCCTAAAATGTGGGGCAGAGGCAGGGTGCGGGAGGAGTGTCCACCCGGCAGGAACTGTGTAATATACCTAAGGGCTCATTTGGTACTCTATCAAATTGGGTTACTGCTCCACATAGGACTTTAGGTGGCATTAAGAGTAATTCAAGAATGATTTTCGGTATTATATGGGGACGGCTAAGAAACGGGTTAACTATTTTACCTCCGAGAATCTTGCATTTGAAATGAACCCATCATCTCCCTCTAAAGAGTACTTGGAAGGACTATACAAACCAGCACATGAAACATAATGATCACTATTGCGCGGGTGTAATCCTTGAAGTCGACTGTGACCCACATCTGCAAAAACTATTCTATATTTTTGTTCTTTAACCATCCAGCTCTGTTCTGGGATTCCGTTGCATAAACAATAACTTTTTAGCAGAGCCCTTTGGAATGTGGGTAGACGAAGTTCTCAAGGTATAAATTTAAATATAAGCATCATTTGATATCGCCTAAATTTCTGGCACCCTTGTTCAATAATTACATAAACTAACGCAAGACCTTTTGCTGAAAGAGGACTACTTGGTTATGTCTAGATGTGAGATAATCACTACTTCTCAAGGTAAAAAATACCACCAATCATTTGAAATTCCTTCCATATATTTAGATTAAATCTCACCTTCCTTAGTTCCACATGCTGTCCTCTGTCATACTGTACCTTCCCTGCACATTTTTCTTAGGCTGCCTCTTCTACATGGAATGACTTTCTGCTGGCCTTTATCTGCCTAACTTCTACTCGTCCCATATTACATTCTCATAGAAAATTTCAGTCCCTACCATTTAGCAGTCCAGTGAGTTTCTTCCTGCTCCAATAAATACTTGGTGTGTGCGTGTGTGTTCCTATAGGTACAAGAATTGCTTTGTAATTACACCTACATTACTTTCTAAAATTTTCTGAGGTCTATGACAATTTATGATGTAATATCATTTATCTGTAAGAAGGTACAGTATTGTCCATCATTCGCTTATTTTTAGACATAATCCTAACCCATAAAAGGGCTGTTGTAGCACATTTCATCCATGCTACAAATGTTTTTTTTTCTTTTTTTTTTTTATTGAATGGTAACTATGTACATTAGTGCACTTCTGGGGTACAGTGTGGGGTTTTCACACACAATCCAAAACACTTCCATCAAACTAGTTAACATAGCCTTCATGTCATTTTCTTAGTTATTATTTTAAAACGTTCACATTCTACTCT